TGACTGACATACAACAGGGGCTAATAGAAGGTCCGGCCATGGCTCTTGTTAATGGTTAATGCCCTGGGTGAAGAGCTAAGACAATCTGGTGCTGCTAGGCATATTTAATTGTGAGAATCCGTAATTAGCCACAAGTTCAAACATGGATAAAGCTTGTGGTCCTAAACCTCAGCAAACAGTAATGCAAGGAGAGTTTATTATTATCATTATTATTATTTTTTGAGACAGCATCTCACTCTGTCGCTCAGGCTGGAGTACAGTGGTGCAATCTCGGCTCACTGTAACCTCCCCTTCCCGGGTTCAAGCAATTCTCCTGCCTCAGCCTCCCAAGTAACTGGAATTACAGGCACATGGCACCACACCCAGTTAATTTTTGAATTTTTAGCTAGTCTCGAACTCCTGACCTCAGAAGATCCTCCTGCCTTGGCCTCTCAAAGTGCTGGGATTATAGGCATAAGCCACCGTGCCCAGCCAGGAGAGCTTATCTTTAACATCTTCTTGACTTTTGGTGTTGGCTCTGTCCCCAACTCCCTGAAATCTCAGTGCCCTCAAGTGAGTCTTGGGTTTCCTGTAGCCTTTGTGGTAACACTCCCCTCTGTATGCTCTTTGCTAGCACCAACTCCTCTCTGCGTCTTACCAGCCTTCCCTCTCAGACACATTCCTCATTCCTTTAAAATTCTTTCTTCGCTAGATGATAATAGCTAAGGCACCAATAATTTCTAATTGGTTGAAATGTTGAGATACTTGTTTCCTAGGACTGATGTAACAAAGCATTACAGATGGGTTGGCTTAAACAATGGAAATTGATTCTCTCACAGTTCTGGAGGCCAGAAGTCTAAAATCAAGATGTTGGCAGTGGGGTTCTTCCTGAGACTGTGAAGGAGGATCTGTCCCAGGCCTTGCTTCCAGCTTCTGGGGTCGCTGGTGATGTTTGACCTTCCTTGGCTAAGGGATGCGTCACTTCATCCTCGGACTTCATATAGTTTCTCTCTGTGTCTTCACATCACCTTCTCTCTGTGCACATTTGTCTCTGTGTCCAAATTTTCCTTTGTTTATAAGGACGCCAGTCATATAGGGTTAGGACCCACACTAATGAGCCCATTTTAACTTGATGAGGTCTATAAAGATCCTACTCAAAAATAAAATCACATTCTGAGGTCCCAAAGGTTAAGACCTCTGTGTGTTTTTTTGTGGGGTGGGCGGCACATAGTTCAACCAAGTGGCACAGTTACATTTTTTAACACAGCCTCCTGGATAGGCACCAATGTCCACTGCATCTCTGGTAGGAGGATCTGGGGTGTCTAAATGTGGGGATAGTCCATCCTCCCCTCTTGCCCCTCCCAGGCCTAGGACACGTGGCCCATGGTCAGCTCTCTTAGGAAGCTGTTTTCTCTGTGTATCACAGAGCAAAGCCAGACCTCAAAACTTCATTGAAATTCAGCAATACATACTCCTCTATCTCCGCAGAAACCTCATGAAAATGGTGCTGAATAATTGGTTTTAAAGAAGTATCATCTTGAAGCAGGTCTAGTATGTCTAGAGAGAAGGCTGTGAACCTGAAACCAGTGGGCAGTGACTTTTTTTTCAACTAAAGAAAAAGCTGGTGATAAATATTAACAATATAGAAAAAGTTCCAGAAACCAGGCCAGCAAAACCTAAGCAGGAATGTCATGGACGGCTTCTTATAAATGCTTCGTGTTGTTGTTAATCCCAGTTTTAATTTCTAGCCTTATTAAAGACTTAAGGCTTTATCTCCATTTCTTTCCCCTGGAAAACTAGATGCACATAATGATCTTTATTTCTGTCATTTTCTCAGTGGTCACAGGGTCTATGCTGCTTAAGTTTTTTTATTTCCACGTGGATTAATGAGGGCTGTGTGGCTCTGTCTTTGTCCCCTGATGAGTCCCAGGGACAAGTATCTGTGGGATTCAACATTGCTTCTCAAAGCAAGATTTTCACCTTGTGGATAAATGCCACAGTGGAGGGAGGTAAGTACCGGGTGCCAGCTTTGCTGAAACAGGAAGAACAGAATCCACTATAACCTATTTAATGCCCTCCCTCCCCCGCCCCTGATAATTGCATTTATGTCTCAACCAGAGAACTTGTCTGGAAGGCTTTTGCAAGTATAACCCCCAACAGACGGCAGGGAGAGAAGAGCAGTCATAGAAACAGAGTCTTAGAACCAAATATGACCTTAAATCGTTCAATCCAGCCAGCCTTAAACAAAACAAAACAAAATGGAACAAAGTCAAACACCAGAGAGGCTGTGTGCTTTCTAAAGGATACAGCACAGCAATACATAACACCATGAATTAATGGAAGAGAAGATCTGGTCTCAACAATGCCCCATTGACCGTAACCTGAGGACCTAATTGCAACCAAGGGTGAATATTTGTCACCTGCTTTAAAAACATGTGCAAAGTTAGGGGATTAAAATTTCAGATACCTGCCACGGGTGTGTTCTTATGCTGTGAAGGGCTTCACAGCCTTGATGAACGTATTCTTGGTGGGGGATGCTTAACATCAGTATTATTTTTCTTCCCCAACAACAAAAAAAATCTATTTGAGGATGTTCCAAACAGTATAAATAATATGTGACTTATTTTTACACCAAACTTGGAGCATTTGAACAGAGAAGTAGTAAAGGAATTACTTTTAAAAGTACATCATCAGTAAGGAATAATCGTATATTCATGCTTTTGGAATGAAACGAAATATGAATGTTTTAAGAGCTTTGTTCTGGTTATTCGTGATGTATTGGCCACAGTTACAAGTATTCAGAATTTAGATGACTGCCCTACCTTTCTTGTTCTCCTGAGCTAATGGGGATTAGGGGGTTGCCATGGTCCAGTAGGAACTATGGAGTTTCTAGGAGAAAAGGGGTGTTCCCCCATGTAAGGAGTCAGCGATATCTTCAGGGAATTCCCGTAAGGACAAAAAGGACAGTGGTGATATGAAAATTAGAATTTTATTAAAAAAAAGAGGGTAACATTGGAAATATGAATTAGGACATAGAATTGCAAATGGATATTTAACAAATAGGAAAAGTGTTTGGTACAACGAGGGCAACTTAGATTTCGGACCAGATTTGGAGTAAGAAGATGGAATGTTGGGAGTAAAAGGCGAAGCAGAAATAAGTGGATGGGTCCTGACCGTAGAGAGACACAGTAACAGTGGCACTGGAGGCTTATGAAGACTTGTGCGATGTGCAGTTTGAAGGTGTGTGACATCTTTGGCCTCTCAAATCTCCATTTTCGGTTGACAGTTGCACACAACTGGAGCCTAGCAGTCAAGAACTTGAGCTTCAGCTTCAGATAAACCTGGCTCAAATCACACTCCACTTTTGGTTACATGTGTGGCTTTGGACAAGTCGCTTAACTTTTCTAAATGCCTTTTTGTCCCAGCTATAACATGGGGCTGATCACATGCACCCTATAGAGTTGTAAGATTTCATGGGATGCTAGATATGAAGCACTTTGCACTGTGTCTGGCACTTAGTAATTGCTCAGAAATTGATGGCAATTATTACTAATTATTACTAATAAGAACAAATGTTCTTTCAAATTGCTTCAAAGCAAATGCAGTAATTTTCACATCATTGACTTTTTTCAAAGATTATCATTGTGTTACCAGAAAGGGGTTTCTGGATCTCGCGCAAGACAGAATTTGAGGCAAATCCAGAGTAAAGTGAAAGCAAGTTCATTAAGAAAGTAAAGGAATAAAGAATGGCTACTCCATAAGCAGAGCGGTCCTGAGGGCTCCTGGTTGTTTTTCTCAATGAAAAATCAGAAGACTTTGCATTAAAGCATGTCAGTGACATAGATAGCCTCAAATAATCACAAAGAATTTACAAAGCTGTACAACTCCAGTTTCAGTTAGCTTAGTGGAATCACACTCTTGCTCTCTTTTCTGTCTAATGGGCATTTCCTTCTGAGATAACAGTTCTGCTTCCCACGTGTTGCTGCTACTGGATGCTTGATGGCTGTGAGTCTCAGGCAGGAGGGACGGAGGGCTTTGGTGTGTGTCTGGGTGAGCACAAATTACCTCGATGCTGACGTGCTAGGTGTCTCCCGGAAAGAACACTCTTTAACTGACTTAATGTTATTTTCACCTGGATAAAAATTTTAAATTTTTATACTATTTGTATTTTCTTTCCTTCTTTCTTCTTTCTCTTTCCTGTCTTCTTTCTTTCTTCCTCTTCTTTTTTTCTTTCGTTCTTTCTCTTTCTTTCTCTCCCTCCTTCCTTCTTAACTTCCTTCCTTTCCTCTTTCTTTCTTTCTTTCTTTCTTTCTTTCTTTCTTTCTTTCTTTCTTTCTTTCTTTCTTTCTTTCTTTCTTTCTTTCTTTCTTTCTATCTTTCTTTCTTTCTTTTTCTTTCTCTTTCTTTCCTTCTCTCCTTCTTTCTTTCTTTTTCCTTCTTTCTTCCTTCTCTCTCTCTCTCTCCCTCTGTCTCTTTCTCTCTCTCTCTTTCTTTCTTCCTTTCATTGGTCTTGTTCTGTCACCCAGGCTGTAGTACAATGGTGCAATCCTAGCTCACTGCAGCCTCAGACTCTTGGGGCTCAAATGATCCTGTCACCTCAGCCTCCTGAGTAACTGGAACTACGGGTTTACGCTATCACACCCGACTAATTTTAAAAGTTTTTGTAGAGATGGGATCTCACTATGTTGCCTAGGCTAGTCTTGAACTCTTGGCCTCAAGCAATCCTCCTGCCTCAGCCTCTCAAAGTGCTGGGATTACAGCCACTCTGCCTGGACCATTTTTTTTTCTTTAGGGAGCTAGGGGTGAGTGTTTTGCATTTTCCTTTCCTCTCCTCTACTGTCAGCCTGGCTTCTGTTAGCCCTGCTGCGTCTGGAGGACCAGGAAATCCCAGCCTAGAAGACTACCTAGAAGCTCCTTCTTGACTAGAGAGGAGGACTGAGAACATCATAGCAAAGGGCTCCTGTTCTGAGCATAAGCAGAACCCGCCTTAGACCTAACTTCCTGCTCTTCCTCTATGACAGCCTCGAGGTCTTTAGGAAAAGCGTGACTCTGGAGCAGAGCCCTGGAGCCCTGGTGGCAGGTGGATGAATCTGCTCCCCACCTGGATGCTGCTAGTCCTTTCTCCAGGCTCCGTGACTGAAAAGTTTTACTTGGCAAAAGCTACTTCTGCTCAGAACTCTAGAAATCAGATCTTGGCCCACCCCTTTCAGGTAAGGATCTTCTTAAAATTGATGCTTGACCCAACTAAATTTATTACACTCTAATCCCTCTTGACCTTGTAAAATCATATGTATATATTTTGAGATGAAGTCTTGCTCTGTTGCCCAGGCTGGAGTGCAGTGGTGTGATCTCAGCTCACTGCAACCTCTGCTTCCTAGGTTCAAGTGATTCTCCTGCCTCAGCCTCCCAAGTAGCTGGGACTTACAGGCACACACCATCACACCTGGCTAATTTTTGTATTTTTAATAGAGATGGGGTTTCACCATGTTGCCCAGACTGGTTTCGAACTCCTGAGCTCAAGTGATCTACCCACTTCAGCCTCCCGACGTGCTGGGATTACAAATGTTAGCCACTACCCCTGGCCCATATATAGCTACTGTAGAGTTCAAATTCTGTTTCTTGCATTTCCTGGCTGTATGACCTTGTGCAAGTTACTTAACATCTATGTGCCTCATTTTCCTCATCTGCAAAATTGCCTCTTCTTGGTGTTAGCATGAGGATTAAATAACAAAATGAAGTCTAAAGTTAGTGTCATTGGAACAAGATAAATCAAGTTCCCATATTCATGGTTTACTAAGTATTAATTGAGGGGAAGGATGTTAATTCACTGTATGGTCAGTAATTCCTTTGATGGGTCAGTAATCAACGCATAAGTCCACCTTTATCTGGTTGGAAACAGTGTTGGTGATAGTGGGGAGGGGTCATTTATACAATGAGATATGTACTCATGTGACTCGTCACTGTTCTACCACATAGCCAAAGAGGAGGCAGATTTTAGGCTAGAACTATGAGAGGAGTTAGGATGGAAAATTGGAAAGTGATTCCAGGGGACAGCCTAGAATAGATACAGACTTTCAAAAATTGAGATTTAAATATGTCAGCAACATTGCTTGTTAATTAACTTGTTCAACAAACATTGAGTGTCATATCCTACCTTCTGGTCCCATCAAAAGGAGTCAAATTCAGCCCTCATCCTCAAGGGGAACTTAGATCAAGCCAACTTGTTGATTTTTAAATTGTATTTGATAATGCATTGGACTTCGCTAAATTCTAGAGAATATTTACAAAATAAAATGCGTGTCTAGTCATGTAAAATGAGAGACGTGTAAGAATAACCGGGTGTATTAGTTCATTCTCATGCTGCTATAAAGAACTGCCTGAGATTGGGTAATATATAAAGGAAAGAGATTTAATTAACTCACAGTTCTGCATGGCTGGGGAAGCCTCAGGAACCTTACAATCATGGTGGAAGAGGAAGCAAACATATTCTTCTTCACATTATAACAGGAAGGGTAAGTGCTGGGCAAAAGGGGGAAAAGCCCCATATAAAACCATCAGATCTTGTGAGAACTCATTTACTACCACAAGAATAGCAGCATGAGGGTAACCACCATGATTCAATTACCTCCCACTGGGTCCCTCCCATGAAATGTGGGGATTATGGGAACTACAATTCAAGATGAGATTTGGGTGGGGACACAGCCAAACCATATCACTGGGAGTGAATAGAGTTTGTTGAGACAAACTAAAGAGTAATTTGTTTTGTTGAAATGAGTGCAACTCATTGGTATTATACTGTGTTCTGGGATCCAGGAGCCCAGTGTTTAGAACTTCCTCCAACCAAGACCACTTCATTATTCTAGCAGACTCACTGACCCTTTCTTATGTACAGTTTTCACTACTTTCCCAGACCCCTTGTGTTTAGATCGGGCAAAAAAACTGGTTTTAACCAAAGTATATGCACCCTGACCAAACTTAGACAATTGGTGTCTGCTTTCCACAGGCTCTTTCTATTTCACAGCAACCTTGCAGGCCATGTGTTAAAAATGGTGCTATACAAGATGAAAGAGTCTGGGATCCTGAGTTACTGCTTGGGAGGGAACTTCTCAATCTGAAATGGATTGTGGTACAAGCAGAAATAAACCTGTAGTGTGTTAAGCCACAGAGGTTTGGGGGATGTTTGTTACTGCAGCTTGTGTAATTTACCCTGACAAATGTATTCTGTTACCATCCTTGCCAGGACGTATCTGTTCTTTCTATCCCTAATGCTACCTCTGGGTTTTAGTGGGGAAGAGGTCTCAAGGAAAGGGATTCTGTGTATGAACACTGACATTTCTTCTTCCTATACATAGTTGAACATTGGAGAGGTTATGTTTATTTAGAAAAGTTTTCACAAATCCTTTGTCATGAAGATTTCAGGGAAAGGTGACCATGAACTGTGTTAAGGTGACTTTTTACACACCAATTAAATAACCGGATTCAATGATTGCAGGGCATGAAGAGAAACGACAACAGCCGTGGGTGTTCTGATCTGAGTAGCTTGTCAGTGCCTATTAGCTCCTTTGCTGCATGTAGATACAAATGACCAATCTTATGCTTTGTTGTTTTTTTACCCTCTCAAGCTAGATTTTCTTTCCTCAAGAAAATGGGAAAATGTCACTGGTCACAACCTCTAAGCCCTATAAGTTTATGTCTTTATTTTATGTTCTGGAGAGAAAAAAATTCACAATCAGAGAGAAATGTAATTTTTTCTGTTGCTAATAAGCTACGTATGTGCAAAAGGTTAGTTTTGGAATTTCTTTCAAAGATCCTGTGATGCAAAGTAAAATATTTGGTAAACTATAATGAGGTAATTGTGAGAAATGAGACATTAAAGTGGGCTTGGAGCCTTTTATATATTTCAAGTTTAAAAACAATTTGGTGTCTCCATCATTAAAACTAAACTTTCACCTGCTACAAATTTCCTTCTTTGCTCCAAAGACTATTGTTTGTTTGAACAGGGTGGAAAGGAGGCTGTCAGAGGCCTTTTACACACTGCAAATGAGAGCAGAAATCAGTGGGGCCACAAGTGTCAATGAGAGAATGGCTGCTGATCAGAGCGCGGACTTGGCCACAGAAACTTTATCTTGAATTTTAAAAGTTTTTCAGTTGGTTATTGGTGGTTGCAATAAAATAAATTACTTCTAAAATATAAATATTGAGTGAGTCATAATGTCTTAAATGATTATGACCACACTTTGCAGACCTTGTGCTGTAACTTAAACTTGACATTTAAGCAATCAGCCTGCATTTAGAATTTCTAAATCTTAATATGTATTACTGCACACACGTTTTAAAAAACATATAGATGAATACATAGCATTTATACCAATACACATAAACACATATTTCTTTTAAAAGATAGGCAAATACTGTCATTTATTCACTGGTCAACTCATGGAAGTCATGCTTATTAATCAACTATTCATGGATCTAACATTTTATGCATTAATCTATCACACAGCTTTCCCATTGGATAATAACTCATTTTATCTTCAGGACAACTCTGCATGTCAGGGATTAGTATCCTCATTTTCTTTTCTTTCTTTCTTTCTTCTTTTTTTTTTTGAGATGGAGTCTTGCTCTGTTGCCAGGCTGGAGTGCAGTGGCGCTATCTCGGCTCACTGCAACTTCCAACTCCTTGGATCAGGTAATTCTCCTGCCTCAGCTTCCCAAGTAGCTTGGATCACAGGGATGTGCCACCAAGCCCAGCTATTTCTTTTGTGTTTTTGGTAGAGACGGGGTTTCACCATGTTGGCCAGGATGGTCTCGATCTCCTGACCTCATGATCTGCCTGGCTCGGCCTCCCAAAGTGCTGGGATTACAGGCCTGAGCCACTGTGTCTGGCCATCCTCATTTTCTAGATGAGGAAACTGAGGCTCAGCGAATGACATTATTACTGAGACAAATGTTTGAGCCAGGGTGGTGCTTGGGAAGACTATGAGCCTCTGAAGAAGGCAAATAAAATAAGGGGGTGAGTTATTGTGAATATATGAACTACTCTAAAAAGATAAGAAATGTCACTCTCCCACTCAAAGTGGGGGAACTGGTTGAGTGCAGGACCCTGAAATGTGGAAAGGCATTTAATATAGGGAATGATGCTTATAAGAGCGTTTGAAGAGCTGGGGCAGCAGGCAGAGGGCATCCCCTATAACCATTGACCAATAACTCCCCACTCTTCCTCTTCCAAGCCACTGGTAGCCTCTAACCTACTTTCTCTCTCTAGAAACTTGCCTGTTCTAAATATTTCATTCAAGTGGAATAATACAATTATACAACATTTGTCCTTTTGTGCCCAGCTTATTTCACTTTGTGTAATATTTTCAACATATTACATGTTGTAGCATGCACAGAACTTTATTTCTTTCCATGTCTGAATAATATTCCACTGTATGGATATGCCACATTTTCTTTATTAGTTCATCTGTTGATGGATGCTTGGGTTGTTTCCATGGGATTGCCTTTTGATATGACACATGCCGTCCTCAGATCTACCTCCCTCCCTTCCTCTTCCTCAAAGCTGCTCAACCAGAGGCTTGGGTAACAATTGGCCACACCCAGCTAATCTAAGTCTGTTCTGTCCTCCATTCAGATGGGAGCCCACCCTTCAAGATGGCCATATAGAAAATAAAACCATTGTCCTGAGAGACCAACTTTCTTGCAATTTGGCACCCACTATAAATCCTCATGGGCTATATTCTTCTGAGAGAAACCATCATTTTAAATTTGAAGGTGTGCTATTTATTGTTGTTTTTCAGCTGCAGACTCACCCTTCTAATTTCTGCTCTATGCTATTGGATTGGAGCAGAGGTTTTACAAACCACATATCCACTTTCCCAGCAGGCTCCATGTTAGGCTCTGCCAAGAGGGTGTACTGAAGAGAAGCTAAAAGGTTGAAGTAGAAAAAAGGAACCTGCTCCTTCTTGTTTGCTTCCTGTCCCTCTGTGCATCACCCAAGCATGCTTCTTCACCCCAGCAGCAGCAGTTCCTTCACATAGTAGAAGCTGCACCTAGTGAGCAGTTTTTCCAGCAGTTATAGATCCTACCTCATTGTACCACTCCCCCACCTTGAGAACCAGCTGGCAGGAGCATCTTCCTCTCAGAACTGAATTTCAGCCCCACAAGGTCCCTCTTATTAGCCCAGAAGCATCATCAGCAGTTGGGCAGGGCG